CAACTGAGGGTAAACACTGTTCTGAGTTTTCATGAGTAGCTTTTCCTCTTTTTGAACTTGTTATAGTGGAGATTGTACAGTATGTATTATTTTGTGCCATCTTGTTTTACTTCGCATTTTGTTTGTGAGATTCCTCCAACTGTAGCACTAGTTCATCTGTTTTTATTGTTACATAGTAACTATGGTAAAATTTTTGCATCCGTTTTTAGTTTATAGACAAAGATTCATTCGATTTTGAGCAATTAGGAATAATGTTGCTATGACAATTCTTACGGGATGTGGGTTTCCATTGCAGTTTTTATTTGCACTTCCTTGGTAACATATAATGTAAGAACTATCCATGTGATTATTGCCTATGTGCATGTTGTCTTTCATGAAGTACGTCTTCAAATTTTTAGCATGTTATTGAAAAATCATATGGTTAACTTTTTCATGTCAGTCTGTGACTTTATGAGTCCTCAGTGGAAATATGCACGCTTAATGTGTTCCTCACGCTATTATTTGCCTTTTCATTCTGTTGACGATGTCTTTCTTCTTATGAACAGAAATTCATAGGCTTAATAAAGTTCTATCTATAAATATTTTTACTTAGTAGTTAATGCTTGATATCCTGTTTAGAAAAATCTTTGTTACCTGCAATATCCTGAATGATTTTTCTTAGATGACTTCTAGGAGGGTTATAGTTTTTACACTTTTAGTGAGCATTCTATTGGGAACTGAATTTTTTTATAAGCTGTGATGTAGCTGTTAGTTCCATATGGACATGATTGAGCTAGTTCCTTTTGTTGAAAAAGGGACAAATTATTTCACATACTGAACTGTCATAAATTAGGTCCCCAGAGATGTGGATCCGTGTTTGGACTCTTAAATCTCTTTCATTTGTCTATTTGTCTCTTTCTGAGCCAATGAGTCATTGTCTTAATTACTGTAGCTTTATATCACATTCATATCCAATAATATAATTCCCTAAATTTGTTCTTTTTTTAAAAAAAGTTTTGGCTTTCTTTGACTTTTTCTATTTTCGAATGGGTGTTGATATCAACTTACCAATTTCCACAAAATAAAATGTATGAAGTTTTGACTGGAATTATTGAATGCATAGGTTGATTTGGGCATAAATGTCATCCTCACAATTTTGAGCTTTCTAGTCCACAAACAGACATAATATGTTCCTTCACTTTTTTAGATATTCTTTAGTTTGTCTTACGAGTGTATTGTAGTTTATAGGATGTAAGCTTACCTATCTTCTGGTACATCCCTAGCTACCTAATGCATGTGATGCTATAATAGAATTGTATTAATTATTACTATTTGACATTTGATGTCTAAATACTGGTTTCTAAAATGTAGAAATATACATAATTGTGTATATTGACTTCAGTAACTTTACTAAAAATCACTTAATTGTTTTAATAGTTTGTGAATTATTTTGAATTTCTACTTACACAATCATATTGGACAAAATGAGAGTTTTATTCACTTTCACTTCTATTTAATTTCCTTTCCTCATCATACTAATGGCTAGACCTCTCCTTTTATATAATGCTGAACAGTAGTGGCATTAGGAGGCACATCCTTTTCATACTGTTTTCAGGGGGAAGCTATCAATAATTCAAAATTAAAGGTGATTGCTTTAGGTATTCTGCAGAAAACTGTTATCATATCAATGACTTTCCCTTCTATTTTTAGGTGGTTAATTTTTCAAATTGTAAACTGATGTTGAATTTTACCAAATGCATGTTATTCATGGATTGGTGTGTTTCCACTCTATTTTGTTAATATGGTTTATTAAGTCAATCACAATGATTGATAATCAAATGCTAAACCAAAGTTATATTTCTGAAGCATATTCAACTTCGTGATATATTAATTGTTTTAAACACCAAATTTCTCTTACTAACACTTCGGTTAGGGCATTTATGTCAGCTTGAGAGATTTGCAATTAAGTCCTGGTAAGGTCTTGGTATCAAGGTTTTATTGACCTCATAAAATGAGTTGGCATGTGTTAACTCTTTTTTTCTTATCTGGAAAAGTTTGTGAAAATTGATATCATTTCTTCCTGGTAAGAAAATTTCTTCTTTCTGAATTCTTCATAAATAATCTCTGCTAGATTATTTTCTTTTAAATATCTCGCATTCATTCATTTATTCTTTCATTTATACAATAAATATTTACTTAATGTCCACTCTAACAGACATTGTGCTAGCCTTGCAGATGGAATGGTGAGCAGAGAGAAGCATGGATAGTACCTGCATTGAGCTCACAGCATAGCTGGTGTGGAAGATACAGTAATCGAATAATTTAGAAGCATGGACCAAACTCTGATAAAAATTTATGAAGTATGGATACCAGTGCTCAGAGACTACAGCAGGGACACCTAACCTATGACATGATTATGAAGTCTTCCTTAGAAAGCTAATAGTCAGAAGTAGATAGACTGCCTCATTTCTTTTTTCTGTTTGAACTTATATCTAATTCATGTGGTTAGAATGTTCTAAATGAGGATAACTGGCTTCCCAGTGTGGTTCATTTTCTATGTTACATAGAGGATGTCCCAAAGTATTGGAGTTTGGTGATCCAAAAGCAAATTCATGTCCTTCACACTACACAAAAATTTAGAACAAATACTACATACTTAAGTCAGAAATGAAAAACACTAAAAATAAATTAGCCTCACTGGGCCCTTAATAACAATGCCTAAAAATAAATACTTGCTGCTTGTCTTAAATTTAGTGCAGTCATTTATTCTCATCATTTTCTACTTTCTGGCAA